GTGGTGGGAGGGCGTAAGCGTTGATGTGGGGCAGGGCTGGGCCCCAGGCACTCAGTGGAAGCATGGAGGTGGGCATTCCGGGCAGGAAGGCAGGGAGCTCAGAAGCAGGTAAGGGGGTTCCTGGGGGGGGGTCCCCCAGAGCAGGCTGCGAGCCTGGAGCCGGGTCAGGCTCCGGGCCTGGTCCCATCAGAGGATGCGCAAGCCTCAGTGGGTCTCTCTGCAGCTCGGAGGCCTCTGCCCAGACGCAATGCCAGGCTCTGCTCGAGGCCCTGGCAGCCCCGGACCAGATGTGACGCCAGCCGCTGGGGGTTCTGGGAGTGAACAGCCCGCGCTGGGACACTGCCTCGCAGGGCAGCGCCCACGACACACGGAGCTCCCGGGTGCTAGAGACTCCAGGGCTCGGTTGAGGCTTACGGACCAGGGGGAGGGGCCTATGCACCATGACTGCTGGGCACCCGGTTGTTTGGATCCAGATGGATCCAGACAGGCTGTTTGTCGGCAGTCCCCGGTGGGACACAGCACCTCCCCCAGATGCTGGTCACTCCCTGCAGGCTGGGAGCAAAACCACCACCCCCTCCATCCTCTGCACCAATTGATCAGGGCCCAGAGAGCCATACCCCTCTCAGTTCCTTATGCCAGCTGCCTCCCCAAGTGCCTCCTCGCATCCCCCAGGGCTGCCTCTTGCCTGGCAGAGCAGGCTCTTAGGGGTTTCTTAGCACACCGGCCTGCGGAACTCACTGCCACAGGATATTATGGAGAGCGAGAACAGGCATGGAGAAGAGAAACTGGCTGGGTGTTCCTGAGGCCAGTGAGGATGTGACAGGCAGGAGACCCAATGCAACAGGGGCATGAATTGCCCTGCCCATGGCACCGACCGAACCCTGAGCCCCCTGGCAGGAAGGAGAAAAAGTCCTTCAGTGCAGATTATTCATCAGTACTCACTAGGGGATGGGGCGAATCATGGATGTCCCTTTGCCAATTGGATCCCTGTGCAGGGAGGAGTGTGTGCCCCTTAAATTAAACTGGGGAGCGGGGGGGGTTCTTAGCGTTCACACCTCTCCCATCCACAGCCTCCGTCCTAGGGCTGGTCAGGAATGTGCAGAGGAAGTGGGGAGCCGGCCGGCCCGCGAGTCTGGAAGTTCTGGCTTTTCCCAGAGCAGTCGGCCGGGCCGGGCTGCTCCCAGGGCCAGGGCCTCTGGTTGCTGCTGACTGAAACTGCCAGGATTCGTGTCCGTTTCAGGGGTGCCCAGCACGGAACAGCAGCTGTGAAACTGTCGATTTCAATCAGTGGGTGCCAGGCCCCGGGAGCGAATCTGGGGGAGCACCCTGGGGAGTGGGGAGGGGTTTCCGAAAAGGAAAATGGAGTGGCGTTGCCCTCTGAATTGGAACCAAAGCCAATGTTCAAATTTCCCCCAACCCAGAAACCCCGAGGTCCAGCCGGCCCGGCCCCCAACCTGCAGCGAGTCTGGCCCAGGAATTCGGCTCCTTCCCTGCCCTGGCGGTGGGGCTCTGAACATAGTGAGGGATCCAACGTAAACTGGGAGCAGCCGTTTTGGTAAGATGGGCCACAAGGTGCCCCCCACAGGCTATGTCTGCGACCCCTTGTGACCTCCCCCCAATGTGCTTTAAACACTGCCTGCCCTTCAGCCCAGCCCACTGGGGAGGGGGAAGTGGGGCCTGCCCAGCCAGCTGGGGATTGGGGCCTGAGCAGTGGGGAGATCAGTGGGGCAGGTGGGGAGGCAGGGGACGGGCTGACAGACCCAGGTGACCGCCACGTCCTGTGAGCCGAACCTGCCACGGACAAACCCCCACGCCGCGGGCACGTCCTCCGCACAAAGGGGGCTGTGCTGGGAGGCCACGGTGCCTGGGGGCGGGCGGCTGGATGTGGGGTGCAGACCGCAAGCAGGGGCATGGAGCGTGGCAGGTGGTTCGGGGCGGGCAGGGCGGTTGGGGGGTGACACAGACTGGACCTGCTGGGGCTCCGTGAGACCTTCTGCCGGGGGCCCAGCTCCCACCCCTGTGCCCACCTGGCTCCAGGTATTGGCAGAGGCGCTGAGGGGGGCCGTGAATCATGGGGGTGGGGGGAACTGGGGCTCACACAAGGATGGGGGGGACCCCCTGAGCTGGGGGGGCGCCCTGAACTTTAGAGGGTAGCGGGGGGCGCTGAGCTGGCGGGGGGAGACAGCGGGGGGGGGGTCGCTGACGCCAGCCGGGCCGATCAGCTGCCGCGACACCGGGGTGGGGGCTGGATAGACGGGGGGGCGGGGCAGCCCCTGCAGCGTCGTAACCCGCAACCCCCCTTGTCTCCCCCCCCCGGTCTTTGTAGTTCCTGGTTCGCGGCTCCGCTGAACTCCGCGCTCCGGGCGCTTCCTGCCTCCCTCTCCCATGGGCTCCCCAGGTAGGTGCCGCCCGGTACGGAACCCCCCTGCTACGGCCCTGCCCCCTCCTTCCTCCCATAGGGTGCAGCCCCCC